TTAAATCCTTTAGGATAGGGCATTTCCTAACATTTTTTGAGCTTATTGTCGCCATTTCCACATGAACATGTGAGGAAAGACATCGGTAGGGTTGAAATGTCCCTGAGAAAATTAAATATAGATAGAGTGGAATACCGAAAATTAAACGAGACTTTTTGGTTATGGCGGTTCACCATGAAAACGGAATGCCAATATATACGATTAGAACCTTCAAAATACCAAAGTGGGCAGAGACATAAAATGGGGGTTATGTCACACATGACCCTACAGTGAAATATATGTTAAATAAATCTTTCACGCCTCGGTTGTAAATGCGGTGTAAACCTTTATAACTCCAAAAATGGGCAATTCCGTTACATTGAGGAATATTTTAAACCGTGGATAAAAAAATACTTAGAAAATATTTCGAAATCGCGAAAATTGAAATTTGGGCTATAAAAATCTCGTTACTTACTAACGAATTGTGAGAGGACTCAAATTTTGCGTTTTTATGGTTCCAGATAATGGTAATGATAAATTATCTTCAACGCTGGTATTAGCATAATCCATGTTACCACAAATCACAATTTAATCCATGAAATGTTTCCGGATATGTCCGGATTTGGAAAATATGGACCTGGTTGGTGGTTTCAACTGGATAGCCCCACACAGCACACAATCGATTTATTGAAGTTTAAAAAAACTGTTTTTGTCGGAAACCCATTAAATGTTTATTTATTAGATATAAAAAATTACATACAGACCCCACATTTATTAATAAAATTACATAAATCTAAATCACCAAACTAACACATACATCGCCACTAAATTTGTCTTGGGTTTCAGCACAAAACATTTAAAAATGTATATTCTTATGAACTTCCGTTTCGATCATTAATCTTCAGGAAATTACAAAGATTTCTGATAAGCGCCAGCTCAGCAGATTGTTCCACAACCCATAATTCAAATCTATTTACCAAGGTCATATTTGAAATATATGAATTCAAGCCTAAAATATAGAATCAGCAAAACAGTAATGAACACAACGACAACAACAACACCATTTGATTAGATTCAATGATGCGTCTAATGAAATCGTTGATCTCACCAAGAATCTAAGTAGGTCTCATTGATAAAGTTGGCATTAAAAAGTGAACTCGGTATTAAATAATCAGTTTTGAACAAACAAACGCACATAGATACATACATGTATTTCAATTATATTTTTAAAATTAATATTTTCGATTTCACTTGAATATTAAACTATAACAAACCAGTAAGGGAAGTTCGAAAGTCGGACGGGCCGACTGTATGATACCCTTCACCACTTTGAGATGAGATGCTCATATGTACAATATCCTGTAGATAGAATAAACATAGCATCTTTGGAGGACCATTTAAATGGAATCGGACGATATTACCTGTGTGAACTACATAGATTTTTGAACTAGTTTAAAACAACCCGTACGGATACCATTCTGAAACCTATAAAATGGCAAATTTCATGTAAGGCGAACAAACATATATATGGGAGCTATACATAAATCTGAACCGATTACAAACTTAACACAAAGCCTTCTAGACTGCAAAATTCCGAGAATATGAAACAAGCATATTTAAATGTGAACAGATTTTTACAAAATGTAGTACAAATAACTCTAAACTTAATTCTTCTGACAAATTTCGTGTAAATTGAAAAAAATAGTCTCTTCGGTGCACCCTCTACATAAAATCGAACGAAAATATATATGAGAGCTATATTTAAATCTGAACCGAGGATATACATATATACAAAAATAAAATCCTCTACTCGACCTTGACCTAAAAAAATATTCCCTTTTTCAATAATAAAATTAAATACATTTTTATTCCTTATACTCTTTAGGGCTCATCAAATGATGAAAATGTCGAATTCATCGATGACATTCAAAGATTGAAAAGAAGCAATAGAGGCTAGTAAGTAGACCATTCTAAATAATTTCACAATGGTAGATTAAGCCCGAACTTTCTAAAATGACTCAATTTTCCAGTATGAGAGGTCAAACTCAGTCACAGTACTTAAATTTTGGAAAACCTGAACAAGATGGCAAAGCTGAAGCAGAAGCTAACGAAAGTGGTTCCCGATCAACAGTATGTAAGTTGAAATAAAAACTAACAAATGTCGGCCAGATTGATTCTAACACAGTCAATGCTATTTTCCAGCTGGAAGTCACGGTATGGGCCAAGCTCAGAGTCAATTCTCTGTAGGCGATTGTGGTGAATGTGGAGGCAGCAATGTATATGGTAGGTTCGGACATATGCCTATTACTTAGTCTAGAATTTTACATGGTCTTTAAATTCCATAGATTATAATGCTGGTTCACCAGATCCATTGATTTACGGTGGAGGAGCTGGGGCTTATCAACCAACGACAACATACACAGATGGTACACCATCAACCCTTATTGGCAGACCAGGAGTTGGACAATACGATACCCAAGGTAAGGGTAAACCCCGATAGTAGAAATATTTGCTTATTAATGACATACATTTCGTTGAGCAGGACAAATCTTAGCACCTGGTCCACAAGGTCAATATGGAATTCCAGGTAATTTTAACACAAAAATCGTCGATAGTAGATCTTCATTTAAAGCTGATTATTTTTATCACAAAAGGTACAACATATGGACCTGGAGCTACACAACAAGGCGCAGATATTGGAGGCACTGGCCAACCTAGTATTGGTGATGTTGGACAACCCTCGAGTGGCCAAACAGGTTTGGCTCCACAGGATATAGTCTCCGGGCAACCGAGTTATGGATCAGGACAACCAGGCATTGGATTTGGACAACAAGGTGGAGATCAAACACAACCAGGCTTTGGTCAACCTGGTTATGGTCAACAAGGTGTGGGTCAACCAGGATATGAAGGTGCTGGTCAACCAACAGGACAACAAGGGGCCGATCAACCAGCTTATGGAGGTGTTACACAACCTACAGGTCAACAAGGTGTAGGTCAACCAGGTTATGGTGGTGTTGGTCATCCTTCCGGACAACAAGGTGTAGGCCAACCAGGCTTTGGACAACAACCAGGATATGGTGATTCAGCTCAACCCACAGGACAACAAGGTACAAGTCAGCCTGGCTTTGGTCAGCAACCAGGTTATGGTGGTGTGGGTCAACCCACTGGGCAACAAGGTGTTGGTCAACCTGGATATGGTGGTGTAGGTCAACCCACAGGACAACAAGGTGTTGGTCAACCTGGATATGGCGGTGTTGGTCAACCAACAGTACAACAAGGTGTTGGTCAACCTGGATATGGCGGTGTTGGTCAACCAACAGGACAACAAGGTGTTGGTCAACCTGGATATGGCGGTGTTGGTCAACCAACTGGACAACAAGGTGTCGGTCAACCAGGATATGGTGTAGGACAACCAGGATATGCTGGAGCAGGTCTACCTTCAGGGCAGCAGGGTTATGGTCAACAACCTGGATTTGGAGGGGTAACACAACCAATTGGACAGCAAGGTTTTGGCCAACAACCAGGTTATGGAGGAGTTACGCAACCCACAGGACAACAAGGTACAGGTCAACCAGGTTATGGTCAACAGCAAGGACAACCAGGTTTTGGCCAACAACCATCCGGACAACAAGGTGCAGGTCAGCCTGGTTTTGGCCATCAAACAGGAGCTGGTCAGCCCGGATATGGCGGTGTTGGTCAACGAGGAACTGGACAACAGGGTGTCACTCAACCGGGATATGGTGGTGTCGGACAAACTGGTTATGGCCAACAACAAGGAACTGGACAACAAGGCGTTACTCAACCGGGTTACGGTGCTCAAGGTGTTTCTGAACCTGGATACGGCCCACAAGGTGTAACTCAACCAGGTTTCGGCCAACCTGGACAACAACCAGGCGTTGGACAAGTAGGTGGAAGTCAACCTGGCTTTGGCCAACAAAGACCAGGATTCGGTACAGCACAACCTGGTGTAGGACAACACTCGTATGGTCAACCCGGTCAAGGCCAGCAAGGTATTGGTCAACAAGGCTACGGAATTGGTCAGCCAACATCCCAACAAGCAGGATTTGGTCAAGGCGGCGCAAGACCGGGATATGGTACCCAAGGTGTGGGCCAAGCCGGAAGACCAGGATATGGACCGACAATCGGTGCACAAATTGGTGGTGGAAGACCAGGATTGCTTCAACCAGGACAGCCTACAACCGGAATGGGTAGACCAACACAACCTTCTCAAGGAGTATCTAGACCTGGATTTGGACAAGGTCATGTAAGACCAGGATATACACAGCCACAAGGTAATTACTCACAACATTTTCCATGTATTAAAGCGTACCCTGAACCTTCTGCCAAACTTATCAAAACTGATATTGATCAAAACTGTTTGATAAAACATACACAAATTTCTACATATAGGTCCTGGAACCGGACAATTTGGTGTTGGTGGACCACAAACGGGCGGTGGCCAACAGTATGTACCCGGCCAACAACTCAGACAACCAGGTACATATTCAACACTTAAATAATTGAATAAATGTTCTAAAAATCGTTATTTATATTAAAGGTTTGGCTCCTCAACAACCTGGAACAGGTGCAGGTGCTTCACCAACATATGGACAACAAGGAGCTGGTAGAATACCAACCACTCAACCAGGTTATGGTCCTCAACAAATCGTACAGCAGCGACCAGGTCAGCCTGGTTACGGTGTACAACAAGGTGTTGGAAGCCAACAAGGTCCAGGGACAGGTGTACAACCAGGATATGGAACTGGCGTTTACCCAACTGGAACTGGTGCTCAGCAAGGAACAGGCGTTGGTACTGGCGTCGGAGGTCAACAAGGAGTTGGAGGTGGTTACCAACAAGTTGCCGGAACTCATACCGGCTACCAAGCTGGAACTGACTCTGCTTACCAAGCTGGATCTGGATTACGCCCTAGTACAGGAGTACAACCAGGTACTGGAGCTGGCTCTGCAGTCCAACCAGGAGCAGGAGGTGTTTATCGTCCAGGTACTGGTGTACAACCCAGTGGCGGAGTTGGTTATCAACCCGGAACGGGTGCACAAACCAGACCCGGTGCAGGATATCAGCCAGGAACTGGAGTTCAGCAAGGAACTGGTGCTGCTGGCTATCCAGCTGGATCCGGAGTCCAACCAGGCACTGGGGCTACTTATCCAACAGGCGCAGGAGCAGGAACTGGAATGGGTACAGGAGCTGGAACACAACCAGGCATTGGAGCCCGTTACCCAACTGGAACTGGAATGGGAACAGGTGCCGGTGTACAACCTGGTGCAGGAGCTGGATATCCAACAGGAACTGGAATGGGAGCAGGTGCTGGTGTGCAACCAGGTGCAGGTGCCGGATATCCCAGTGGAACTGGAATGGGAACTGGTGCTGGTGTGCAACCTGGTGCAGGAGCCGGATATCCCACTGGAATCGGAATGGGAACAGGTGCCGGTGTACAACCTGGTGCAGGTGCTGGATATCCAACAGGAACTGGAATGGGAGCAGGTGCTGGTGCTGGTGTGCAACCAGGTGCAGGTGTCGGTTATCGACCAGGAAGTGGTGTTCAGCCGGGAACTGGTGTTGGAGCCGGTTACCCAACAGGAACAGGTGTTCAGCCAGGTGGTGCCGGTAGTGGATATCAACCAGGCGCAGGTGTACAACCTGGAACCACAGGTTATCCTCAAGCATCCGGAGTTCAACAAGGTGCTGGTTATCAACCTGGTACTTATGGCCCAACTGGCGGTATTGGTCAAGGTGGCGTCGGACCTCAACAAATAGTTCAACCAGGATCTACATTCGGTACTGGTGCTGGTGCTCAAACTGCTGGTGACATGTCAGGTCTTTTGGGTAAGTACTCCCCTAAACAGACATAAAAGCATGTGTGGGATAAAAATATATTTATTTTAGCTTCTGGCTCAGTCGGCGCTGAAGATGCATTCTCTCAAGCTGAATCTTCGATCAGCAATGGCCAAGCTGCTGCCAGTGCTCAAGGCAAAAAGAACGGTGGTACAGCTAAGACACAAGTTCAGGGTACTTATAGTTCGACTGGTTCGTTTAGTGCCAGTGCTATGACATCAGATAATGACCGTTCTGCCAGCTCTCAAGTCACCGGAAGTTCAGAAGGTGCCATGAGTCAGTCTCAAGGTCAAGGCGGTGCAGCTCAGTCACAAGCTCAAGTACAAGTCAATGAAAAGGATGGTGGCACTAAGGCGTCATCACAGAGCGGTGGTTTAATACATCAAAGTCAAAGCGAGGTACCATGGGGAACGATGTAATATGATTTAAATATTTGACTCATTGTTTTTGTTGTACAGGTTCAAGCTAATGACAAGGGTGGCTTAGCCGATGCTCAATCCAGCGGCCCCGGACAAACATCTTCTCAGGCTCAAATCGGCTTCCGTCCAGGTCAAGATGATGAAATTGTTCAATCAACTGGAGGTGGCCAGGCTTCTGCTCAATCGGGTGCTCACTCCGGTCAAAGTCAATCGCAAATTCAGGGCACATCCAAGTAAGATACAAAAAAGAGAGATCCATATATTTTGTGATCATTTTATTAATTAATTACAATTAATTTTTAGATACGGTGTTTCTTATCATGGAGCTGCTCAATCTGCTTCTGGTACCAAGGAACAAGTTGCCACCTATCGCGAACAAAACCGTGAACTCTTCAATACCATCAGCCAATTTGGAAACACTGAAGCGTAATATTGAGCATTGCCAAATCGCATGGAATAGCATAGCTAACTTTTCCAATTTCCCTTTTTCAGAGTAACTGATCGTGTCGACACCATGTATAATCCTCAAACTGCTCTCACATCAGAATCTGATGCAATTCCTGATTTGCAATTGAAAGCAGCAAAAACACCCAAAGAAGGTGAGTAAAACTATCGACAACATCCCATTTTTAGGGTCGGTTTTTACTGATTACAAATTGTTGTAGATTTAGATATTCAGATTTTATAGTTGACTATGAGGTTACCTCCGAATTTTGATTTTTTCTCTTATATCGATATTCAGATTTTATAAAAATCTATAAGGTTACCTTCAAATTTTGATTTTTTTCTCTAATATCGAAGGCCCAAGGCACCAAATGTTTATGTCATATAATAATGGGACAGAGGTAACTTCTAAGATTTTTCGTGGTAACGAATTGGCTTAATAAATGGGGTAAACATCTTTAATGTATTTAAAATCGAGAACCTAAAATCTATCAAATCTGTGTTGTGTGGGTACAGCCTTCATATAAGGACTATATAAAGACAATGGACATATGCTTAGCTATGGGATGCCTCTTCATTTGTTTTTAATTACAACCCATTTATTAGGGGTAAAACATTTATTTAAAATCCGGTGGTCCAATATTGTAAATTTTTAGTCCATTAAAACGATGAATATAATTAATATTTAAACCATTTTCTTTCTCTCACAGCCGCTAGTTCAAATAAATTAGACGAAGAAAAGCCCAAGACCGCCAATAATCGTAAGTTCATCTAACAATTTCGGAAATATTCGTATTTTATCTCGAACATTTCAATTCGTTTCTCCAACAGCACCAGCATCAACCAACAAACTCGACTTACCAGAAGAAGATGAATATGAAGATGAATACGAGGACGATGATGAGTTATATAATGATAACGAAACACCGCTAAGTATGGAGGAAGAAGAAGCCAAAAGTTCCAATCTAGCTAAATCCCAAGTAAAGAAACCATACATTCCCACACCATATGTCACCCACACTCAAACGTCACCGACACAAACACAACAGGTGGCTGTTCCCAAGTCAACAAGAAAATACAACGTCGAACAAAATCAAAATGGTCGTGTTCAAACATATCCCATTCGATCAACAACGGAAACCGTCCCCAGTGGTTTCCGTGGTTCCGTCAATACAGAAAAGAAATTCCATACCAAATCGCTGGAACCTCACAAGACCGGCAACAAAGTAAATATTACCGCGGACGAAAAGAGTTCCGAATCGAAGAATCCTCGCAAACCGGATAGTTATGTAACCGTCACAAAATCCGTAACCGGTAGCATGGACAATACAAAGAGTCCCCCGGAGAACAATAAGAACTTTGAATCCACCTACTATACGAAATCTTCCACCTGCGGCTATTTCACCTTCTCCTGTAACATTGTCTACGGTGTCAATGGACGCAGCAAAATCTGTCGTCCCAAGGCACCGGCCAATGGTAAATGTTAAGCATCGATAGTTTATTTTTTTTTTTTAATATACCCTACTTCCACCATTCTACTTCGAACGTACATAACACATACACATATAGCGTACGTAGACATGTCACATTTTAATTTAACAATGAAAATATTTCTTTAAGTCCAAGTTTTTTGCTAATAACAACCCAACTCATAAGTAACCATAAATTTAAGTTAAACAACCACACACCCTAATTACCGTTATATAAGTGTATTTTTGTATTCTTATTTTTTTTTTGTGTGTGTTTATTTGCACATCTGTGAAACATACCACTGCCCAGTTCGTTAATTAAATTATTAATAATTTACACAGAACTCTAATTTTCTTTAACTCGATCCTTAATATTATAATTTTTTTGTATGTAATATTTTGTTTTTGCAAAATAAAGTTACGATTTATACAAAATGTTTTCTGCTATGATTTAATGTCAAATAATGTGGTAAGTACTAATTCTGTAACGAAAAAAGTCTGAAATAAATTTTATAAGAAATAACCTATCTTCGGATAATAACGTTCAATATTTTATAGACAATGTACAGGTGGAATATATACATAGAATCAACTGACACGAAATTTTGCATATTATCGACTTGAGACTAGAATGACGAATGTTGAGTTTTAATCTAATCGGTTCAGATTTAGATGTAGCTCCCATATAATTTTCGTCCGCTTTCATGTAATGACCACGTGCTTGACTAGCAATTTTGTGTAGACTTCCAAACGAAGTGCAGTGTGTCAAGTTTGCTTCAATAATTTGTAATTTCGCTTACTATGGTAATTCATTTAATTTAAATATTCATCCTGAACTTTTTATTTCATACATCCAATTGGTCAGGAATCCAATTCAGAAGGGGAAGGCCACTAATTAGATGGAAAGAACAAGTAGTAGACAGCATCTCGGAGCATAGTCCTTCAAATTGGAGGAGATGCGCACAAGACCGACGTGCTTGGACGTGCTTGGAATTTTATTTTAAGGTCGGCTTATGGGACAACCGTTCTGTAACAAGCCAGCTAAGTAAGATCAAGTCCCTTTACCAAACTGTGGTACAGGGTATTATGTCTTTGTGTATATATTTGTGACAGGCAAAAGGAAACGAGATAGACCCATGCATAGAATCACTTTCTGAGCCGATTTATGCACGTCCGTCTGTCCATGTTAAATTGTAAACAAAGTGCATGTCGCATTTATTATCCGAATTGGATGAAATTTGGCACGGCTCATGTATTTGGTCCAGGGACGAACCCTATTGAAATTAAGAACAATCGGTTCACATTTATATATAGTTCCCATATATATTTTCGTCCGATTTTTAGCAAATGGTGCACCAATGAGTCAAATTTAGTTCGATTGACACAAAATTTTGCACAACGTACTGAAGTTGGTGTTGGTGTGCCAAGTTATATTGAAATCGGTTCAGACTTAGATATAGCTCCCATATATGATTTCGTCCAATTTTTAGCAAATGGGGCTCCAAAGAGTCACATTTAGTCCGATTGGCACGAAATTTTGCACAACGTACTGAAATTATGATAGCTTAAGGTGTACCAAGTTTTACTGAAATCGGTTCATATATAGATATATGTCCCATATATATGTTCGTTCGATTTTTAGCAAATTGTGCACCAAAGAATTAAAGGGTGCACTAAATAATGAACTGATGATTGTGGATGATCTTTAATTTGATTTACATAACTTTCTAAACGAATCTAAATCTGCCCTAGTTACATGTACTTTGGCATACCAAAGAAGTATCCATTGTACCAAATTTCACCGAATTCGTTTGAAATGAACGCTCAATAACCCAATGAAATCCATTGTACCAAATTTAAGCGAAATTTAAGAACCCAAAATTGGGGAGTACCCTTATATGGCTATGCGTGGACCGATATAGCTCATCTTCGAACTTGACCTGCCTGCAGACAAAAGACAACTCTATGTTGTCGTTTAGAGGCTTGACAACATGCTTAAATCGTCATACAGTTTTACTCTGATAAAAAATACGTATTTTATAGGGTTGGAAGTGAAAGTATTAATCGTTCGGTTAAGTCGGTAAAGTAGTCCACTTTCCTTATTTTCAAATTCGGTCGGGATCCTCCCTGGATCCGGAGGCTTATTTTTTCATCTGGGAAAACGATGTACCATATTGTGTAGAAAATGCTATATTACCACTATTTCGGTTAGAAAATTATCGTAGGTTCATCAAATCTCTTATATGGGGATGGGATCCTTATATAGAGGTTATGCAAAAAGTAAAAAGAGAAATATGTTTAAATAAAAATTGGAGTTAATGCAATGCGCAAAAGGCACAAACTATACCTCCGATTCCATCGATATAAATGTTTTTTTGTAAATCCAGTCCTATTTTGAAGATTTCCTGCACGTATGTATTTTGCCATCAAAGAATGCCGGATTATAGCCCCATCGGTTGGAAAATTCTCCTAATACCATCAAAATAGCTATAATGGCACGGGATCTATATTTAATTGGGAGCTATACCTAAAGATGGATCAATATTGATATTCTTTTCGCTTGTAGTTAGAAATTTAAAATCGCCTGATAATGGTAATGTGCCATTTTGAGTTGTCGTTATGTAGATAGTCCGATGTATATTTTTTTAAGATTATTATTATTTTTATTATTATTATTTTGGAGACTAATACCATAGACAGGCGACAGACTTAATTTGCATTAAAAATTTCTTAATTTGAAATAATATTTACCCCTGACAGACGAGAATTTCTGCATTTACGAAACAGTTTTTTGCTTCAAAACAATTGTTTGTCAGTGTGTAGGATGAAATTTTTTATATTTGTTTCGATATTTAAAAAATGATTACTTACCATCATTTCAGCGATCGAATATTGTATGTGATTCCATTTAAAATGTTATTGCTCCATCATTCTTAAAATCAGCAACATAATTATGAACACAAATAGTATTGTTATTACGGATACACGAAATAATATAAGTAATTCCATCTTTTTACATTCTAAAGGCAAAAGAACAATTTTCAGTTGTTATTTATTGAAAATAAATTAATTGTGTTATGACTTGTATGTCAATGTTTAGAAAAAATGCTTATGTTTTATTTGAAAAACTACTGTCCTCTTCCCGTACTCAAAAATGGTTAAACTTTTGAAATTTATAAAGGTGAAATCGAAATCAATTTCAGTAGTTTGAAGTTTATAATACCCTTCAACACACTCTGGTACATGGTATATTGACTTTATGCATATGTTTGTAACAGGCAAAAGGAATAGAGATAGACCGATAGTTCCTTTTGACAATATGCATAGAATCACTTTCTGAGTCGATTTATGCAGGTCGGTCCGTCCGTCTCTTGATGTTCAATTGTAAACAAAGTACTGGTCGCATTTATAATCCGATTTGGATGAAATTTGGTATAGCTAATTTATTTGGCCAAAGGATGAGCCCTATTGAAATTGTTGAAAATCGGTTCAGATTTAGATATAGCTCCCATATATAGCTTCGTCCGATTTAATGTAAATGGTGCACAAAACTCCAAATATTGGTCCGATTAAGAAAAAAAAATTTGCACAGAGTATTGAATTAGGTCTAGATTGATATATGCGAAGTTTTGTTGAAATCGGTTCAGATTTAGATATAACTCCCATATATATTTTCGTCCGATTTTATGTAATTGGAGCACCGTACTACGAATATTGGTCCGATTGAGACAACATTTTACACAGCGTACTGAATAAGGTCAGGATTCATGTATGCGAAGTTTTGTTGGAATCGGTTCAGATTTAGAAATAGCTCCCATATATAGTTTCCTCCGATTTTAGGTAAATGGTGCACCATACTGTCAATGTTTGTTTTCCTATTAGGGAATAGAAGTAAATTGTACACCAAAGGGTAAACAACTTCTGTTGCGATTTCTTTGATTTTACCTTAATGTAATTGAAATTCTAATGTCAATTCATGGTTGTAAAACCAATTCAGGTAAAAAACTAAACGCCGATACCATATTTTTGTATCTCCTGCAGATTTGGGAATATAGCAAAGATAAATACATTTCACAAAATTGTGTTGTATTGTTTTCTGGTTCCCTATATATTGTAAAGCACAAATTGTATTATGATAGTTTTTATTTCAAATATAATGTTTACAAACTTTTCCTGCTGGGTCGTTCACATAAATTTAAAATGTCATATCGAACTTGACACGAGTATTACGATACAATCAAATCAGCTGAGTATTGCAGTTACCTTCAATGTACACCAAATATGAATTTCAGCAATTTTTAATAGAAAATTTTCCTAAATACCCCAGAAAGTGGTCCAATATTGACCACGCATGGTAGAGTGGAACAACAATACTGCACTTAAGAGGTCACAGTTATATAAGGCCATCAGCAATATGCACAGGCTTTATTTCGGCCTAATTGAGAACTATTTCAAAATTAACATTTTGCTAAATATTAACAATACCGAAAATCGGTAAGTATCATTATATGGGGGCTAGGCCTAAATGTGGACTAAAGTTCGACGTTCTCGATATCCTCCGCAGGTGAAATAATTACAACAGAGTCTTAGAACCAAACCCAAAACGCGGAATAAATCAGATAACTATTTTAATATATAAAGGGGGTTATATGGGGACTACCCCTAAAACTGGTGTGAATATTAATAATTTTTGGTAGGGAGATTTGTTACCATATACGACTACAAAATACCAAATATCAGTGAATTCGGTTGAAAAACGCGAACCTCAAAATACCGAAATTGGGGGGTACCCTTATATGGGAGCAAAATTTCAGCACCCTATTCCAATTCCTTCAGAAGATAGCGTGATTACAACAGACGGATGGACCGACATCGCTAAATCGTCTTAGAATTTAACGCTGATCAAGAATATATATACTTTTTAGGGTCCGAAATGATTACTTCGATGAAATACAAACGGAAAAACAAAATTAATATACCCTACATACTATGGTGGAGGGTATAAAAATAGTCGTTGAAAATA